GTAAGGGTGGTTATGGACTGTAAAAAGCCACAAAGGAAAAACTGTTTCTTTTCTTTTTCTTTTCTTTGTTTGTCTCTTCTTTTCCAGGTCTGATTTATGCACTATCTTTGAGAATTTTATAGAAATATTTTGAAGAGTTAAAACATATCTGTGACTTAAGATATGATGTTTAAAAAAATATTTTGGTACTTATAGATTTACGGCATGAGAATGGGGTAAACAGGATTTTTATTTTTATGTTAGAATTTATGGTTCCTGACACACTGTAAGCACCTGCCAGTGGCAGGTAAAGCTCTCTTTGATTAGCTGCTCAGACAAATTTTAAAGTAAGGTAAACGTTATGAGTTAAAGAAAAACAAACATCGTGTTGGGTATGTAGCAATACATTATTACAGAAAACAAAGTTATAAACAAGTGGATAGTGGAATGAACTATCTGTCAGAATAGTTGTAATAAAGGAAAATACCCAAGAGAGTTATTTTCCTTTTATGAGCAATGTGTTTTTGCTTCACAGTATGAAGGGGTCAACTAATGCTTTCATTTATTCTGTGTTAAACTCTGCTACCTGTAATGAGATACTTGTTAAGGCTGCTATGTTGAAAGTGTGCTTTATTATTATTATATATATATTCTGCATTATGTGACTGATTTCCATGTATGCATATGTCATGGATTTGCTAACAAAGCACCTTGTAAACATTTCTGGCACTAAGACGACAGCCACCCAGAGAATGAAGACTCTGTGTTCTAGGATTCAACAGCATATTAAGATATTTGTTTTTGAAAACCTTGGCTTATCATTCTCTTACTTCTTTGAAGAGTAAATATGAATCATATCTTGAATTTCTCAAAATGATATTTGATATCTTAGTCTTGAAAAACTGGAAATTGCTGTTTTTGATATTTTACATTCTGAAACTGATCTTCCTATGCAACTGTGTTTTGGAAAAGACATTACTAATGAAAGAGCTGTTCTAAGAGCAGTGTACCAAGAGTGAAAACTAATGCCAAAGTTGTAAATTACATCTCCTTTATGATAATGGTGTTGGGGTGAAAGGTATAAGCTGAGAGAACCACTATGGAAAATACATGCATTAACTAACCTTTGTAGGCAAGTATTAGGGAGAACTATTGATCCTGATCAGCATGCTAGAGTAGAGTTAAATTATGCAAATTATAAAGGAAAAGTGAAAGGGACTTGCTATTGATTATCACTTGTTCTTAGAATAACCTTTAAGGAATAAAGGGTTTCCTTATGCATGTGGACATATGCTGATAAGTAGTAATGACATTACTAGTATTTCTCCCATAGAACAGTAAGTAAAATAAACATGTTATGCATTGCACTGAGATGTATCTACTGAATATTTATCACTAATTTGTATTTTCTTTAACTCCCCTTCTCAACACACAACCACCTTGGCCGACCCTTAGTTCTCTAGATGGATTTAAAGGAGGTAGATGCTGTCTTTATGAATGGACTTGGAAATTAGTCTTGACACATTGTCTGTCTAGTAGTAAAAATATTACATTGTTCTATAAGATTTAAATATTGAGAATGGAAGCAGCTGACGACTGTATTAGAGCAATAATACTAGTATGCTTGAAAGATTGATTGTTTTTAAGGATTCATTGTTCATGTACATATCTTTAGAATCTCAAATGGATTAAGGCATTGTATATAAACATAAGGATACATATTAATTATTTTTTTAAGAATTACTTCATTATGACAAATAATATTCTTAAAATTGTCATATGCTTAACCACATGCCGATGGGGAGGGCATGGGTATATATGCCATGCCCACTGTGTGTTTAATTTAGTAATTGTTTTTACATATAGATGGCTCCACAAGTACTTGGTCACCAATGAGCCAGTTACAAAAAGTGCTTGTCTCTCCTGTTTATCCTTTTCCTTAATTTTCAATAATGTTTTCTAGTATTTAATACTGTTGTTAGTAAAGTCAGTAACAATATAGTAATTATAATGTTTATAAAAAGAAATAACATTATCAATATAGATGGCAATAGTAAAAAAAGCATTTTCCCGCTATTTCAAGAAAGGGTGAGGTCACAAGATCTACTAATTGACTCCTTTGTGACTAAGCACTGGCAGAGCCATCTGAGTGTAAAAACATTTAACAAAACAATACTAAAGTGAACGAGACATTTTCCCTGCGGCACTGGGTTAAAAATCATTAAGGTTGCGTTAGCTGCTTGATTCTCATTTAGCAATAATGTAATGATTATGATGATGATTTACTAATGATTACATATTAGAAGACATTAATCAATTTCTTGATTGAAAGCAATTACATCATCATGTTGAAAACACAATTCATTCTATATGTATATGACATACATTCATACATGAATGATCTTCAAATTACTATTTCAGCTATCATATGCAGTTAAGTTCACACTACTTGTTTCTCTGCAAATTCAATACTTTATAGTTTTGGAAGTCACTTGTTTCATTGTAGTGCATATGACCATGATCATGCAGTTTCAGCATTGTATTCAAATGAATTATATATTCATGATTCTTGCAAAAGATCTCAGTATATCTAATATTGGCCCAGTGTTTACTATCAGAGACTCTGATCTATTCTTGTTCAGTTTGTTCTAAAAGTATTTTTCACACGAAGAACATTTCTACAAAAAAAGTAAAAAAATGAATGGTTATTAGTTTAGTGGTGTCTCTATAAATAGACTTCAACTCTATGAAAAAAATTAAGAATATAACTACTGATTTCATTGTGAAAAATATTCATATTTACATATACATTATGATTATACCAACAGCTAGATATCCTTCAATGTTTCAATCTCAGCTCCAGAGATTGTTGTGTTTAATATTTTGAAATTATTTGTTTCACGGATACAGTTCACCAATGATTATCTTGTGCATTTCATTTAGAGTGATTCAGAGGAATCTTTAGCAGAGGAGGTACTGATTTGTCATTGTTTAGCGACTACTTGTCGGCTTAAGTAGTGCACCATCGACTCATAGACTGTCCCAAGCACCCAAAACAGGACAATGATTGCAAAAGGTTGAAATAGGTTCCCTGGAAGACAATAATTTAAAAAATCCGAAGCAGTGGAATGTAAATTGCATCTTATCTATTATTCTATGATATCTAATGATCTGATGATGTGGCATGGTTTTATTATGTGATATGAAAAGTGTCCAGGAAATTTTAAGACCAGATGACCTGTGCTGGAGGGTGAAGAGGGCAGCCAATGAGTCGGAAGTAGATCTTGTTTGATCCAGCCAATAAGATTTGAATGGATGACGTTATATAGTTAAAACTATACATTAATACATATTTACACATGTATATGTATACTTTTTAAGTCTATATATGTATGTAAATATGAATTTGTATAGTTTAGGTTGGATAAACATGTGCTTTTTAGCTCTTGTCAGATTTTGTTAATCGTATGTACTATAAATTTGGTATTACAGCAAATGACAATAATGTTTCCCTTGTTTCTCGTTTTTAATGTTATTTTCTATGGCTTAGTGGTCCATGCAAAGTGGTCAGATAAGGATACTCAGAAATTTTCTTTGATTAACATTTACCTTGGCAAAATTATAGAATACCAGGTTGCTGTAAGAAAAAATAGACTTGTAAGATTTCATATATTCTGTAGAAATAAAAGATTCACATTTTAGGATATCTAGAAACGTATATGATGAGTATTGGTTAATTATTATTTTAGAAATAGAGAAAAACAATTTTCCACATTCATGTAGCTGTAAATTTACCTGTAATAGGCACAGCACCCGAGTATTCCTTTGAAGGGTTCTTTGTTGCATGGTAAACAGGCACTTCTTTTGGTTCCACTGAAATACAGTCTGTATGCAACCACTTCTAGAAAATTAAGGCAGTTAGGTTAGCATAAATCATATATGTATTTTGAACTTTTTTTTTTTCTTAAGAAGAGGTAATTTGCAGTTAATCAAAGTTCAGTTGATAATGGGGAGGATTAATGCTGAGCAAGCTATAAACAAAACAAAGAAAAGTGTAGTAAAGCATGAATATGCCAAAGACCATTTTGCTGTAATAGAGAAGCAACATGGCAAAAGGGCCTTCAGTATATTTATGTCATTTCAAGCTCTTCCCCTTGCTGTTTTGGGTACAGCTGATAATGAGAGTACATTACTTCTGATTTATATTTAGTAAGATTCTTTATGCATAGTCTGCTACAACAATGACTAAAGATCCATTCCTCTAATGATTTTTAACTCGCAGTGAAACAAGTGTGAAATAACAAACTGATCATTCTCACATTCCATATTGAAAAAAAAAAAAAAAAGAAAATCTAGTGTGCCTTAATTTTCTCAGTGTCCTTGGTGACATGCCTAACCTTTTTAACTCTTTGGAGGCTCCTAAAAAAAGCTTTGATTCAGAGTGGCTCTGTGCCGCTCATGTATCCATCCTGCACGCCAAATGTACCATCACATCAGCAGATTGGTCTTTACCCCATCCACCCTCCTTTTCCCCCCGTCAGCAAAACACTATTTGGGACAGAGATGAACTCTTGGTGAGTCTCCGATGATTTTACTAGATGCTGTGTTGTTGGAATGTAGATTTATCTTGTTGATGTTTTTCTTTTTCTTTTTTTTCTTTTTTAACTTATATTTAAGAACACTGCTTAACCAATTGACTAACTGTAAGACTAATATATCTTTACTTTCTGTTAGTGACTGTTACAGGTGAATACTAGTGTGTGGGGAGGGGTGTAGAATAACAAGCATAGTGACATGTAGAGCATCAGGATGTTTATCAGTCTCAAAGAAATTCATGTCTCTACCTTTTATTTGCTTATTTCATTCAAACTGGGGATTGAAAAAGCAAATGTTTATGCTTCTTGGATGATAAAGATTTTTCAAATGACTATGATAATGATCATATTAATGATGTACATGATGGCAGTAGTAATGGTAGAAATAATGATTATAATTCTACAATAGAGTTTAATGTTAATGAA